GCAAAATTAACAATGTTTTAAAGCAGTTTTACTTTTAAGTCTGCCCAATAGTTTGGTGGGACTTCTGTGGTATTTGCAAACCTGTGTGAAACCTGGAGTCAATTAGCATTGTCTATTTTTCTATTTCTCTCAAAATGATGTTCTAGGTTTGTGGAACTGGACTTTTCCAAGATTAAATAAGAGATTCAGTAAATCTCCCACCTCCTCCAGTGGGTACAATAATTAGTTCTGTTTGCTTTTTTTTCTAGATATATTTGGAAGTGAATATAGGATGTAAGGAGAGGATGAATTAAGTAATCTCCAGATGCATTCCTACCATAAAATTCTCCCACTACAATTATTTTCCTGTGTTTAATTAATTGGACATGTGTTTTGCACATTGATTTAGAATTATAATTATGGCTATGATTTTTTTAAAAAATATTACTTTCTTTGCTTATTGTGTTGATGGTTTTGCAGTTTCATTAAATATTTTGTTGTATACTTTTTAAAAGGAAATATGACATATAAGGGTTTAAAATAAATGAGTATATTAAATAAAGGAGAAACATGATCCTACATGTCTTCTATGGCATAGTGAGAAAGTGTAACTGAGGTATTCAAGTTAATATACCAGATACTGAATAGAATTTGTGTGTGTTTATTGAGGGGAAAAACCACTGTCCACCATTTGAATAAAGATTAATATCTTTATTTATGATGCTGAAAATTCTTTTCTCTTTACTCCAGTGACATGCATGTGTATTTGCTGTTTTGTTCATGCCCAGTTGCAGCAGGAGCAGCTGGTATCGAAGACAAGGCCAGTCTGGCAATGTTGGAAGTAGGTCCTTCCACTCACACAATCGTAGAAGCCATTTTTGTCGGTGGGATCTGGGTAGAAGCCATCGGATTTCCCTTTGCAGAAGGTGGCACTGCCGCTGCCACCAGAACTTCCGCTGCCACCAGAACTTCCGCTGCCACCAGAACTTCCACTACCACCAGAAGATGGGGCTTCTGTTGCAGGTTGGGCAGGTTGGTTAGCGTTAGTGCCGAGGGTGGTGGTGGGCACCTTGCAGTCTGATGGACAAGAGAGAATGGTGTTAGTATTTAACTTTCTCAAAAGGGTTATTTATGGCTTTTGGAGAAGACCCACTGCCCCTCACGAGCAGAGCTTGGAAAAGCTGCCTCTTGGGCTACAGTCCTCCAGCTAGCATGGCATTGTAGTCCAATGTTGGGGTCTGAAGTGATAATTGTGGTCCAAAAAGAACAACATTTTCAGGCTCTGCTCATGAGATCTAAGACTTAGAAACTGGATATTGAAATGGTGAGTTCTTGGACTATATCAAGAAGGGAGGAGAGTATAGGAAAATGAGAAAAATGGATCAAGAAGCTTCTCATTCCTGGCTAAGCAGAAAATACAGCAAAAACAAGGATTTAAGCAGCAGGGACAACAATTTATTGTGTTTTTGATGTCTGAATAAAATCTAAAATTAAGGGAAGGGCTAGTGGCAACACTTAGGACCAAACTGGACATGAGGTTAAATGCATCTTTAAAACGTTTATGTTTTCAAAAATGTAATCATATCAGCAGAAGATGGGGCAAATAATTATTGGGATCATAGCTGTTGGAAAAGAAGAATTTAATCTCTGCCCCCTTCACTGCAGTCCTGAAGAAGATAGACTTTGCTATGGAACAAATCCATCTTCTCTTAACCTTGGAAGAAATGAGTTTGAAACAGTGATGGGCATAAGCCAGGAATCAGTTTCCATTCCTTTAACAGGTCATGGCTTCTAATGAGCTGGGCTACTACCATGCTTTCCCCTGTTATGTCCAATATGTTACTCACTTGGTGTAGTAACTCCCAAGGCTGATTTCAAAGAGTTCATCAGAGGGTATTTGCCTTCCCCACAGAATGTGCCGGTGAAGTCATCCAGATCAATAGCCCATACCATAGCTCCTCCAAAGTTGTTCTCCAACAGCCACTTAGCCTGTAAGTCAGGTAGGAAGCACAATGTTGTAAAAGACTCCTCAAAAATCAGAGTGACCTTTGCCCTTGCATTGCCAAGGTAATATGTGCCCCAACTTGTCTATCCAATAATGGCTTCCTAGGGGGTGATCCCAGCTTATTTGGAATCAAGATGTAAATGGAATAGCATTATGATGTCAATCAGCACTTACTGCATATTGATATCACCAGAGTAAAAAAGCCAGCTCCAAGGATAGTAAATACTTTAAAATACTAAGTAGTTGTGGTAGTAGTGATCATTTCCTATTCTTTTACTATTGCTATGCCTGTATATTGTTTTGAACATTATAAGTACTGATATTTTAGGTACCTTAAGTGCCCTTTTCTTTAGTGAAAAGTGGAATAAAATGTAATAAATAAGTAGCCCACATATTGTTGACTCTGCTGAAAAGATTCACAAAAATATTAAAGGTTATTAATGTAATCTCCAACTCCTCCCTCAAATTCCTTCTTGGAATGGAGGAAGGAGGAAAACTTACCTTGATGGCAAAACTCTTGGGGTTGTCATAGCCAATCCACTGGTTTCCTTTATAGGCATAAGGGACTTCTTGTGGAGCATTCCAGACAACAGTAGCACCCTCCTTTAAGAAGGTACAGACCTATGGGAACAAGGTGCCTTGTTAACTAATGAAAGATTGTGATCTAATTTTATAAGACTAGCTCTAGTTTGTTGAACTATCTGCAATGTTAACCATTTTGCCTATATTGCAAATGGCAGAATGCCCTAAATGTAGACGGCATTGCAAGGAAATGAAGGAAGGAAAGAGATCTTGAAACTGTATTAAGGAACCTCATTCCATCTGGCTACTTTAGCTGCAATAGTGCAAAGGGGAACTTGGACTACTATAGCTAGACATAGTATCCTATACTGCACCTACATATCAGAATTGGCCACTTTTGTTTCCTAAAGCAGAATGGGAAGGAAGGAAGGAAAGCCATCAGCTTTCAAAAACAAAAGCCTGAATATACATGTGGAACTATTAGCCATATTGGTTCACATGTGTATTCTCAAAGTGGAAAAATACAGAAATATATCAACATTTGCTGCTGCTGTTGTTATGTGCTGTCAAGTCAGAACTGATTTATGGCAACTCTAATAGAGCTTTCAAGGTATGTGAGGTATTTAAGGAGTGGATTTGCTAGTTCCACATCCACAGTGAGCTTCCTTGACTGAGCAGGGAATCTAATTTAGACCTCCTCAGCCCTAGTCCGTTGCTCTATCCACTACATCACATTGGGTATCTATATCACAAAATTATAATTTAAAAACAATTTCATCCAATGCATTGCAAAAAAAAATTCTATGTGTACTACATGTTCATATGGCTAAATATATTTTTAGGACCTCAGTTGGAACAGGATCGGAATTTACCTCAAAATATGCCAGGGTCCCAGCTGATTGTGTGTAGGCTCCAGCTTTACCTGGCCCAGAGGTTGGGGCATCTAGACCATGGTTAGAGGGGTTGGTGAGAGTGAAGGTGCGAGCATAGGCTCCAAATCCCACCATTAGCTTCTCAGCTGGTGCACCGTTCTTCTTCCAGTAGTTCATAGCATAGTCCTGGTGGAGAGAACATTGGTGGAATAATCAGAAAAAAACTTCTACATATTCAGCAACTTAACAGGAAAGAGATGACTGAAGGTAAAAGAAACCTTTCGTTTCTGTTTAGTCACTCACCACATTGAAATAGATATAGGAACCATGGTCTTGAGGTCCTGCAAACAGAGGACTGTTGTCACCTGTGAAACCTTCCCAGGATCCTCTGAGGTCATAGGTCATCACATTGATCAGGTCCATATACCTTGGGGGAGGTGAGTGGAAGTAAGCAACCAAAAATGTCAGTGTGGGTCCTTTTATTTAGCTGGAGATTTTTGGATTTCTTTCCAACATATAAATGTTCAGTATATTAATTTAGCATTGTTCCTTCCCCTCAGGAATTCCTTTAATTGTTTATTTGTTTCATTTTATGATTAACTCATATAAAATATACAATTAAATTATGGAGTATTTATTATGAATAGATGGCGAGTTTTCCCAAACAATGTATCAACTTGAGTGTACTTACAACGCTGTCCAGAAACCATTGCATATAGTATCTTCTAGTAATTTTCAGCTCTCTGTGCCATTTGTTTTGATGTTTCAAAACAGTGATAAGAAGGCAAGCAAACTAACCTTCTTATAACAGTTGTATAAATGTGTAATTTAAATCCAGGTGTTGCCAAGCTCCTAGTAAAGGAGCTTCCTGAAGTTTGCATTTGACAAATGCAACATCCACAGAATACATGCCTTTAACTTCATTGCTTTCAGTTATCCGTTCGTCTTGTTCCATTACTTCTGTATACCAATTACTTCAGCTTTAATGCTAATGTTTGCTTTCTTTGAGCAGTGAATGAAACAAGCTGCCCAATACACAGTTAAATGAGGTAATCCATATCTAATCCAGAGGTAGTTAAGGTATATGAGTATCCTATTCTGAACAATGTTTTGCGTCTATGAACTTCCTTCAACACATAACTCTGCTTGTTCTCCTGAACTCAGAAATATTAATAATTGGAGATGGGCAGAGCACTGTTTGAGACAGGGTAGCAAGAGGCTGTCTTACTTTGGGACCTGCTGCTATTGGTAGCCCTTCATATTTCGTATGTAAGTGAAGCAAAATTGCCTCTGAGACTCTCCAACTCTGCTTGCCCTGAGACTAATGTTTTTTCACTAAAGTTCTGTTGCTTAAAAAGGACTGAAAGATCTTCATGTGACTTACCCTGAACTCAGAAATATTAATAATTGGAGATGGGCAGAGCACTGTTTGAGACAGGGTAGCAAGAGGCTGTCTTACTTTGGGACCTGCTGCTATTGGTAGCCCTTCATATTTCGTATGTAAGTGAAGCAAAATTGCCAGTGCCAACTTAGTATATGATGAGGAGAATGACAATCATGTTCTGGTGCCTTTCTTATTGGAGTTTGGAAAAGAGAGCAGGCAACTCCCACTGTGAAAACCACGAGTCTTTGACTCGTATTGTCATAGGGGCCTCAACAGCAGAAGTTCTGTCCTGCAAGGCAGTTTGGTGTAATGACCCATCTTGCCCTGAGGCTAATGTATTTTCACTAAAGTTCTGTTGCTTACAAAGGACTGAAAGATCTTCATGTGACTTACTTAGACATCTGTGGGATCTGGTAGGCAGTTTCAATGGTGCCCAAGCCAGCAGACACAGCTGCAGAGATTAGCAATCTGGGTTTGTTGCTTTGAGAGGCCTCTTGCTCAAAGGCTTCATACATTTCCTGTTATTGGAGAAAGCAAATCAGCACAAGATACTCTTGTAAGAATAATAAAATCAATGATTTTTTTTAGCAACTAGTGTCAGAATCCTCTTGGAGTTTGCCCTGAACAACCATACAAGCAGTTTCTCTCTCTCTCTCTCTCTCTCTCTCTCTCTGTGTGTGTGTGTGTGTGTGTGTTTCAAACTGTTCATCATGCAATCCATTGCCCAACAGGACATAGCTGAGCGTGCAAGAGGCAAGAAGAAAAATGCATACTGCTTGCGTGGTTGTCCTTCCATGCTCTGGGGTTCCAACTAGATTATGATTTATATGGCCATATGCTCTTATTTGTTTCTTCTAATGAAAAGAAAGAACTAACTTATCTGAGTGGGGGGGGGACTGATTGTCTTTGATTAGAAGAATTTTTAAAATTTTTGACTTTTGGAACACAGAGAAATGAGATGATGTGCCAGAAAGTGAAGCACAGAGAAAGTAGCCAATGTGACAATTACATATTTATCTGGGAGTAAGCCCCATTTAACTCAGCGGTAAGTACTCCAAAGTAAATGGATATAGGTTTGCAGCCTATGCTGCTGAAGTAAGCACCTGAACTCAGCAGGACTTGTGTCTTAAGACTGTGATATAAGAAAGTTCTTCAAATATTTTAGAAAGTAACTGTTCTGCATTACACATTGGCAGCCAGTTTTGCTAATGTATCTTGATAATTATTGAGGAAATAATTCAAATGTTAAATATTCTCTAATATCCACATTACTGGCTTTTATATTTATTTATCACAATAATAATTTGCAGCGACTTAAAAATTCTAGATTAAAAGTCATTCCCACAACTTGCCATATGTCATGGGCAGGAATTACATATTTGCAGATAACACAGTGAGCTTTTTACTGTGTGTTATCTGCAAATCTGAGAAAAACTGCATGAAACACGCGTCTGCTTTAATGTGCCTATCTCAAATGGTGGTGGCTGAGGAGTGTGGCGGTGACAGAGTGGAGGAGTCTTCTTGGCCATCAAAGACATCGGTGCCACCATCAATACTGCTACCGCCGGTTGACTGCTGAATGTCAGTGGTGATGATAACAACTGGGGAGCATGCTGGCAGCAGAAGTGGTCTGGGTGGTGGGTGTACGTGGCCATCAAAAACACTGCCTCGTGGCGCAGTGGTTAAACCGCTGTACTGCAGCTAAAACTGTGCTCACGACCTGGGGTTCAAATCCCAGGTAGCCGGCTCAAGGTTGACTCAGGCTTCTATCCTTCCGAGGTTGGTAAAATGAGTACCCAGCTCGCTGGGGGGGCAATGTGTAGCCTGTATAATTAAATTGTAAACCGCCCAGAGAGTGCTTGAAGCGCTATGGGGCAGTATATAAGCAGCACACTTTTTTTTGTTGCACCCCCAGCTCCTATCATCCCACTGGACCAGTCTGGCTGACCATAGAGGAAGCCCTACCATGATATAAAATTGTGTGCATTGGCCACCATTTTAAATTGCAGTAAGGCTTGAGTCAAGAGAAGTGACAAAAATTGCTTTGTAGTCTATCTGTCCCCCCCCCCAATTGGGGTGTTGTTGTGGCAATGATCTCTTAGTACCTGTATAAGTATACAAAAAGAAGGTGGATCCTCGCCCACTTTAGGAGTCAGAAGATTTCCCACATCCCATTTCTCTCTATGTTGCCAATTCCAACACCCTCTACTGAATTTTTTGCCTTCATTTTCCTGAAACCATGAACCTCACAATTTTAATGACACTTCTAGCAGGTGAGATAAAGATTACTAGTAATATGGGGAGAAGAATGGGGAGAGAGGAACGGATTGGCTCTTGAAGTAATGTGGCTGTTGGTTCACATGTGCTATTAATTCCAATGTATGTTCAAGATGACAGTTGTATAAAAGAATCCAGAACAGAGATTCTTCCATTGTGTATGTGTGTATGTGAGACATACTTAAGAGAACATGTTGCTAAAGCCAACCTGAAGCAAGACTGTGAAAAGTTGTTGGGTATCAGCAGGGCTGCCTCTGTTGCCAGGATACTCCCAATCAATGTCCAACCCATCAAAGCCATACTTGCGCAAGAAGGTAATAGCAGACTTGATAAAGGTCTGGCGATTCTGAGCAGAGGAAACCATGTCAGAAAACCTACAAGATAAAGCAAAGTGGAAAGTAGTAGTTTAAAGATTCCCTCCTTTTTGGTGCTCTACATGTAGAGAGGATAAGCTTATTACTTAACTGATAAGGGCATATCCTTTTGGTAGCTTGTTAGTTTTGAGTCACATGGACTAATATAGGGGAGGGCAACTTTGGTGCATATGAAAGCAAATCTTCTTTTAGGTACCCTCTGGGGCCCTCAAAGACCGCAAAAAAGGCTGGGGAGGAGGGAAAAAAAGGGGGGGGGAAAATGAAGCCAGCAATAGATTTAAGCCACACAGAATGCTCATGCAGGGACTCACTTTTGGGTACCGAAAGAATGAAGCCAGAAATAGATTTAAGCCACACAGAATGTTCATGCAGGGACTCACTTTTGGGTACCGAAGTTCCATCCTCCAACAGACAACAAGGTTTTCAGATCAGGATTGCTGTGAAGAACATTATTTGAATAGTCATTTAAAAGCCTGAACTATCACTAAGCTCATGCAAGAGGCCCATCCTTTCTAAAAAGAATAAAAAAGGAAAAGGAAAACTCTGACTGGGAGAGGAATGAAAAGGAGATGATAAGAGCCCTAAAAGAGGATCAACAACTCCTGAGGGCTCTTGTACCATTTAAGAGCTGTCCAGAGAAGCAGTTGTTATCAAACTACTGTATAACCATGAAAAAAGAGACCATGTAACTCTTCCAAATAACCTTTTTGTATTTAAGAATTTGTAAAAAGTAACTTTATCTAATAGTAACTTAGATCTCTTACACTTCTTGTATCGCATGTCTCTATTCTTATTGTCAGCAGGATAGAAACAGACTAATGTGTTACTTAATTTGAGTGGGTGCAATCCAAAGAAAAATCACATGTGCATAAAGCACAGTTAATATACTTAATTCTCATTTATTTCAGTAGGGTTAGGGCATCCCCATAGTCCCTGGATTTTGCCTACAGTTAGTTTGTAGTTGTTTTCCTTAGTCATTGTATGAAAATACACTTAATAGTCTTACTAGCTTTTGAGTCCATTGATGCCACCATAGAGAGCCACATCATTCCACTCAATAGTCTGGATCTGGTTGTTAGCCATGCCAGCAAAAGCATAGATAACATGAGTACACAGGCATGGATCAAGATCTTCAGGCATGTAACGTGCAATCCCAGGTCTGTACTGGCACCAGTTGGTAAAGTAACAGACAATATTGGTAGATGCACCTGCATTTTGGAAGATAAAGGTCAATGAACACATGCTAGTTATAAACCAGCATCAAGAAAAAGCAACTTTAAAGTCCTGATTCTTATGGGTTGTCATGCAACATAAATGGGCTAGAGCTTACCTAGCTGCAGGTGCAGTAGGAGAGCCAGACCTGTGGGAGAAAAAAAATCCATTGTGAATCAACCATAAAAACAACCCTTCCGCCCCCCTCCAAGAATCTTGTGCTCCTTGAACAGCCAACATGCTTTACTTGGCATAAGCTTTTGAAGAATGAAAGTCCACTTCTTGGGCCGCAAGCATAAGAGTACAATGTAATTTTCTTAATTCATCTGAACTGTAAAGCTGGAATGACACCTTTGAAATAAACTGGGGAAAGTGTATTTGCTCGTAGCTGCAAGCAGGTACGATCCCACTTGTAGGACATAAAGTAATTCCACCAGTTTGAGATAGGGACTGCAGGCAATTCTCTGGGGTGTTGCCTTGTGTCCCAAGTTGAAACTCCCCCCAGCAACAGGATAAAGGTTTCAGCCTCCTTCCCCCTTTAACCCTAAACAAGGAGGGCTGTTATTTGACCCCATTATGGTGGGGAAGGAATAAGAGGCAACTCCACAGGAAGATATGGCACAGGACTAGAGATGGTGGTATTGTTGATTCCTTTATAAATGAGATTGATCATTAAGTTGCTTAGGAAAGTCTGTCTCTTTCGGTGTTCTGCACTGAAATGTGTATACTGCAAAGATCACAAAACACCACATCACTATGCTTCTATAGTATGGTAAGCATATAATTGTGCATATATTCAGTAGATGGTACACTTCTCAATCAGGATTTGTTTTCCTTTTTGCAATAAAGAAGGTGGAGGTGAATAACTACTTGGAACACAGAATTACTAAGCTCATTTTTTCCAAATATGTACTGCGGGGATGAATCATTGGAGGAGATGGCTGTTGTTGGTTAGGTCCCCTAGTTCTCATAGGGTGTTTGAAAAACAGCCAACTCCTAACGCTGTGAATCTAATAGTAGACTGCTTATATTCTGTCTTCTGTCTAGCCATTAAGTATTATTTGATTGTTTCCTCCTAACATTTGTGGGGGGGAGGGAAGAGAGAGAGATATGAAAGAAGCAGAAACAAAACACTGAAGGTTTATAAATGGAGGATAACATCATCTAGATCCCATAAATGAGACATGGTGGCAATATAATAAAAGGCTTGCCTTGGAGCAGTAGTAATTTTCAGAGACATGCTAGAAATATGTTCAAGAAGAGCTATTAAATACCAGGCAGGTGGTGTGTACGCTAGAACCTACTGCAGTCAAGTAACTTAACAACCTTTCAGATGGGAAAACTATTTGGGAACCAGATAGCTCTATATAGAACGGAGGACAAAAAGCAAACTCTGGGAGGTAGACAAATGGAAAAAGTCTTTGGAAATTGAAGGAATGATCTTTTGCTAGCTCATTGTATAGTTGAATCTTTCATACTCACCAGTCAGAAGTAGTAGTTTGCCCATTTTGATGCCTGTGCACTACTTTGGTACATCTTTTCCATCACTTTTATAAGATGCTTTTGGTACCCACCTCCTATTGCACAAGTATGACTTCAGATAGCCTTACCCCAAAAGTCAAATAGATAAAACCAGTCTTTATTGTGCAGCCACAGACCCAACAAAACAAGTCAAATAGAAAGTTAATATGTAGAGAAAATTAAAAATAGATGTCTCCTCTGGCATCTATCTTCACCTTGAAATATTATCTGTACTCTCAGTCTTTTGAAGTTTGACACTAATAGCCACGTATTCTAAGAGAAAAGCTATTTTTGCATCCCTGATTCCAAAACAATTTCATCAGAAATTTGCCAAAGTTATTGGACATCAGATAAAAAAGACAAACATATATAACAATAACACATTTGTGTATGTAATTACATGGGTAGAAATGTATCGTATAATGCCCGAGAAATGACATTGGAAGCAAACCGATGCAAGAACCGATCCATGAGGGAGAACAGCTATTTGGAAAAGAGATTAATCATTTGCTCAGATCAGTTTGGTTTCTCCTTCAGCTTTTCTACATGTTATGTAACTTGAAGTGTGTTTCTGAAAATTAATCTAATTCTTCTTGATGGCGCACCCATGGAATCATTCACATGACTGGTTGTGCAGTCCATCTCTCACTCATAGTGAGAATAGGTGCTCAATCAAATTTAAAATATAACATCATATTATATTATTATAAAGAGGCAACAATATCAATGACCCGCTATGGACAAATAGCACTGAGAAATGATTGAAGAAAGTCAGAGATTTACAATCACAGAATCAGAATGCTTATGACTTCAGTAAACAATGGTACAGATCCATCACCTATCTTAACAAGAAAGATAATTAAATCACACCACCATTAGCTCATGGATTAATCTGGAGAGATCCCATGTATACATTTGGGAAATGATGTCTTATTGCTTTCCCTTACCTTAAGACTCTCTTCAGGGGGCTATGAGGATTAACTGAAGGCAGCATGCAAATGCATTTATATGCATGAATTATATACAGATGAATTTATATACAGATTTACATGTTCTTCTGTAGAGGACAAAAGGGGGCTTTTTCAACTAACAAAAACTTTGAAAGAGAATTTGTGGCAGTCAGGTCCACAGAAGTGGGTGCCATCTTTCAAAGCCCAAGAAAATATGCCAGTGGGGGGGCGCTTCTGGAAATGGCCCATCCTTTCTGACAGCCCTTCTTCAGAGGGCTATAAAATATGTAAATGGCAACACATAAAGACATCTGTATAAATTTGATTCTACAATATTCAAATAAGGCAAGAAATGTTTTATTGAAATCATTATGAATATATTTAAAAACCAAGGGACAAATTACCATTTCTTTTCATTTATTGCACATTAGTTTTAAGGCAGCAAGGAACAAAACTCAGCATCAGTCTCTGTAATCAGTGAAGCTGGGAACTGTGAGAGAAGCCTGCAACACTGGGTGGCGATACAGGTGGAAATAATATATTCAGACTACAACAACAGAAGATGGAGTGAGGAATGAGCAACATGAGTCACACAGTAACACAAAACTAATCACGGGTTGTCTTTCTGTAGCATTTTCTCAGAGCTGGAACAGGGTTCATGACTCCCAGAACTTCCCAGTTCTACTGAGAGCAACAGCAAGAAACAGAACTCTTCTCCAAGTTTCAGTGTTTTTCATGAATTTAAGAATCAAGCGAGCCTTCCCTATATTTCCTACATGGTAAGCTGGTCATTTACATTCATTGCTAGAATAAAAGCGTGATCCATTTGGGCTTCTCTTGCTGTTCAAGATTATTCCCGCTTGTCCAGTTCCATTTTAATAGCCCCAAGCAGTGGATATTTTCCCTCGTTGCAGAAAGAACCTGAAAAATCATCTTGGTCAAGGGACCAAATATTAACACCTCCCAAGTGATTGCTCTTCACATAGCGAGCCTAAAAAAAAAGGGGGGGGGGAGGGAGAATTAAATAAAACCAAAACCACAACTTGTAACAAATATGAGATTTCATGAAGCATTCTCTCGCATTGTTCACACAATGGCATCTCACTGTGCAGTATGAGCCACTCTTGGAAAAGGAGCCACTATATGCCCTAATTTGAAGAGAAACTTGTTCAGCAGGCTGAGGCAAAGAGGAGGTCACGAAACCAGCAAAATCAGGGAGCTGGACAGGGGACAGATTCTATTTGTCTTCAGTGTAGAAGGGATTGTCACTCTTGAATTGGCCTTCTCAGCCACACTAGACGCTGTTCCAAGACCTCCATACAGAGCACGTTACCATAGTCTCTCGAGACTGAAGGATGCCTACTACTATATGCCCTAATGTGGTCTCTTTGTATGTCAAAAGCTTGAAAAACAACATGTACAAGGACAAACTTGAAACAGATACTTTTCTGAATTGGTACTGGGTGCCTCCAAATGTCTGTCACATTCTCTCTCTCTCTCTCTAACCATCACATACACATACAAGCATAGCAGATCACTTCCAAACTGTGGTTCTTTTAAGGTCCCTCTTTGGGGACCAGCTCTAGAAAAATTTCAGACTTTATTTTATCTAGGACCCACTTATTCATCTTTCTGATGGTCCAAGGTATCTACAAAGTTATCCTCCAGCATCACTTTTCAAGTAATCATTCTCCCCTGACATGCATTGTAGTGCAATAAACAATTTGCTGAGATTTGTCTGTTTGCTTGTTTTCTGTTGGGTACATTTCTATCTTGCCTTTTCTCTGATGAGCTGAAGGCAACAGAAATGGCTCTCTTCCTTCACATTCAATCCTTGCAACAACCTTGTGAGGCAAGAGGAGACTATGATCACTTGGAGGTGGGGGATTTGAACCCGAATCTATGGGGGTTCCACTCCACTAATCTAAGGATTACACCGCACTTGATCATTTTTATTTTGTTCTGTTTTGTTTTAATGCTTGCAAATTATCTCAAAGATAGAATATGGTGAGCAGTTGTCTTACAGTTTTGATCTTGTTTGGTGAATAAAGAGCCTAGAGCCTGTTCTTGCACTGCTGCTTTTATTTTATCAACTTCTTACCAACACTGATAGATCACTTCTAGGAATGAAAACAGGGAATAAAGCTTTTGCCATTACTTGCCTTGATCTGAACACTTCTGGTATCTTCATATCCTACCCACTGGTTCCCTTTATAGGAGTAGGGGACGCTTTGCTCCTCAATCCACCTCTTCGTGGCACCATGGTTAAAACTGCAGATCTGGCAGGAATGAATTAGAAGCAATAAAAACAAAGATTAGTGCACTATGATGTCAGTAGATTGGCTGGACTATTTTTGCAACACAAGGAGAGAGAGCATTGTTGGTGTTGCCACCATGCTCTCTTGACACCTCCTGTTTGCCTGCCTGCGGCTGTATCTGTTAGGAAGGGTTGATAATTCTTCACAGAGGCACAGTGAGTTGGTGGTTCAGTATCTTCAAAACAGTCACATCCCCTGTGAAGAAGCAGGTTACACAGTTTTGGAAGGGGGGGGGAGATTTCCTCGATCCAAGTGGCTCTCTTGACCTGGAGCCCCTTGTGCCAACATTAGATAGGCTGCCAGATCCTGCCTCTTCTGACTGCCATGATCCATGCTCTGACATCTTTCAGGCTGGGTTATGTGGGGCTCCTCTTGGAAACGATTCAGAAGCTCAAACCAATCTAGAAGTGAAGTTTTGCTGAGGGTACCCAGGTGCTTATATTTTTCTAAATATATACAGTGTTGCAAGGTGAGGCACGATGAATATTCCAGCAGGAGAGACCCATCAGCACGATGACCCAAACCCTTCTTCTTTTTGAGAGTTTTGAAACAGAGTGGGATTGTGGTTTCCATAGGTAATGGGGACCCAGACACAAATGAAATCCTTCCTACCTCGTAATAGGCCAGCGTTCCTGCTTTCTTTGTGAAAGCTCCAGGTGTACCAGGACCAGAGGCTGGGGCCGCAACCACTGTCTGTGCAGAAGAAAGAGTGAAAGTGCGCCCATGTGTGGGAATTGCCATGACGATCTTCTGAAGTGGAGCACCTTCTGTCTTTAAAAAATGCACAGCATAGTCCTGGAGAAAGAGATGAAATCCATGGGACACTGTGTGTGCTCTAGTACATTTGTGCAGAACTGTGAATGGTGTGTTTCTTTAAAAATATTTTCCCAGACGCAAATATTCATAAATTTTGTTCCCATTTCTTCAGAACAGTACAAACCTGTAACCAGCAGTGTAATGGATTTAAGACTTGTGGGGTCAAAACCTTAGGATGTTTAGGGTAGCAAGAACTGTAACCTCATCTACCACCCCTTTGAATCTTCCCTGTTTCCTCTGAGCTTAGCTGCATTTCCTGGGACTGGTATACTGTTGCAAGCTATCCCACTTATAATGCAATGTACTTGAGCATGCTTTGCTTTTGAATGGGTGTGGTTTGGTTTTAAATCAGCATTTAAAGCCAAAGTGAACGGCTCTCCATTTTAAATGGAGAGCCATTTATTTTACAAAATACATGTCCTCTTCATTTGCTGATAAGGACAGATTCAGCAGTCTGCCTTTTGAGCTCTCCTTGCTAAGAGGACTGTCATGATGACCATGCACATCCAAATTTGCCACTACATCAATGCCTGTAAGGTAAGAATGGGTTGTTTAAATATGTAAGGTTTAAAGTCAATCATGCTTCTATTTATTTTATTTATTTATTCCATTTATTTATTTATTCCATTTATACCCCGCCTGTCTGGTCACTATGACCACTCTAGGCAGCGACCACTTATAAAAGGTTTGTAAAGCAAATATAAAGCCTGGATAGACCCAAAGGCTCATTCACACTACAGATGCCTCTCTTTCACTTTCTCTCTCTGAAAAGCATTAACCAGATATCTACAGACACACTAAAAGATAGTTTAATCTGCGGTTCTTATCCAATGTGCTTTGTTTGTTTTCAGGAAAGCTGCTAGCTTTCCCAACAGGGACTGCCTAAACATGCTGTATTGCACCTATCATCACCCCAGCCACTAGTCAATGGTTGTGCTGTTGGTGGATGATGGGGTTTCTAGGGCAACACCTCTAGTACATTCCCTATTGCAGAAGAATCATGTCAGGTGTGAGCCAGGAGTCTATGTGAATAATATTCACCTGGAACATTTATAAGGGGTAAACAAGACTAAGACTAAGATTTATGTGGAGGCTGTGGTTTATGCAAAAAGTCATGGAGTGTGGAGTGAGGGGTTGAAAGGGCAAGGTGTATTGCTCCTCCATAGCACAAGGCCTGTGGATGAATTAAGCAGCATATTTTGGAAATTGCTCAGTTCCAGCCACAATGAATTGATAATCTTTTCAGTGCTGATAGGATATAGTAGTCGTTGGATGAATGCACAACTTCAGGAAGTTTTGAATGTAACTCTCAGAATTCCTCCACCTGCATGATTCTTGTAGTCTGAAAGAAGCTCTAGCTATTTATCTTTCCTGCACTACTTTTTTATTCAGTGAATGGAGCAAGGCATTCCAATCACATCCATTACCAGCCTTGCTTAAAAACCTCTACATTCAAGTAAGATATTGATTCAACCAAGCACCTGGAAAAGCCTTAGAAACAGTTGACCTACTCTTTGGACCACCCGCAACTCACCACATTATAAGCGGAGGCACTGCCAGAGTCAGCATGGCCCTTTTGAAGGGGGCTTCCATGGCCGGTGTATGGATGGCTGTTATCTTCCCAGTAACCATGAAAATCATAGGTCATGGCGTTAAGGAAATCTACATACCTAGAGAAGGTAAATATATAGTAAATCAAGGCATACTAGGTAACAGTGGCTACATTTATGTTTAATACTAAGGTTGAAACAAAGTGCCCTTCAAGCCCCCCCCCCATAACAGACTTCCCTGTCATGAGAAATTTGAGTATATCACCCTTACCCTTTGGGGGTGGAAAGGCATGGAGATGGAATCCTGCACACTTGTAAGTCAGAACTCTGTTATAAACACTTATAAGTTAAAACTTGGTTCTGCTTTGAGGGCTAACAATTGAGCAAATAAGCCCCCGAACCTCATGATATATGTTTGCTTCCCTGTACCAGAGAACTACCATCAACATGAGATGTCCTTGCCCACTCCACCTTTCCATCCAGTATGCTGTTCATTCTTACTAGGTTGTATTTGTCTTTGCATGTAATAGACATGGCTGGAAGAACTTACTCTGAGATAGTCTTTATATCATAGCCTTTATCAATGGCTTCCTTTCCAGCAGGTACTGAAACACTCAGTATGAATTTTTGCATCCCTTCATTGTTAAATGCTGCAGACAGATCCTAAAGGGCATTAGCAAGCATAACTGTGATCAGTGACATAGTTTTACAGACTGTAGCAAAATGACTTTTGAAACTATACAGTAGTACCTCAGTTTACAAATGCCTCGGTTAACATAATTCTTGTTTTACAAATGGAAATTCATTGAAAATAATGCCTCGGTTTACATTTTTTTGTTTGTTTGTTTTGGGTTACGAAGAAAGTTTCCCCAGGATGCATTGTGCCTGGGGGTTTATAGCGCTGCCCCCATTCCTATGGCAATCTGCATTTCGGTTTACAAATTTTTCACTTTACATAATGTCCCATAGAACGCATTGATTTCGTAAACCGAGGTACTACTGTATCTCATAGAATTTTCATATCTCAATCATCAGGTTGTTAGGCTGTGCAAAACAAAAACATTTTGAAACTCAGCATTTCTTGGCAGTCCTCAATTCCTTCTCTAACAGGCCAGGTCAAAACACACAAGGGATCTGCATCTTTTTGGCTCCTATGCAGTCCAGTGGCTTGCAACACTTAATTCACAATGATGAGCTTTAAAGATGTCAAGAAAGCCCCCCTTTTTTCCAAGGTAAAGGTCTGGAATTGAGACACCAAACCTTCTCAGATCTTTGCAAATTTATTTGGCTGTCTCTTGAATGCACTTCTCAGTCCAATCTGCTCACGTGGAAACTATTTATAGTTTAATGTACCTTGACCAGGTCAGATAAACGTTCTTTGTCACTCTGTTCTGCACCGTGCCAAGAAAGATCTAAGCCATCAAAATTATGTTGTTGAAGAAACTGCACCACTGAAATCACAAATTCTGAGCGGTAGAATGGAGATCTTGTTATTCTTCTGAAGCTGTTATAGAGGGGAGATACAAAGTTTGGAGGAAATTAAAGTAACAAAATTTTACATCATCCATAGATATGTAAATGTGGGTTCAAACAATAACAATATGCAAACAGCATAGACTCTATACTGGCACCCTTTTCCCTTTTCCCTTTTCCCTTTTC